AGCCAAGTTGCTGTTTTTTTCAGTCACTGTTGCTGGTTTGTGGGGTAAAGTGATGGAAAAAAGCGATCGCAACTTGGCGATCCAGGTTCCTTTTCGTTTTGAAGTCCGCGCGGCAAGGCGAAGGCGAAGTCCGTCGCCGCCAGCTCCGCGTGCTGCGCCACGGCGATGACGGGGTCGTCGCCCAAGCCCGCCTCACCTGAGCGCTCGGAGGAGCACTGACCGGGGGGAGGGGGGGGAGGGTACGATGGAGACTTGGGGTCTATTTTGCAAGCACCTGTGGTCATGTCCTTCTTGGGAAAAGAGGGGGTTGGCTGGGGCTTGCGGGATTTTACTGTTCTTTTTTGTTGGCTTCTTTTGGGAGTGCACAAACGACCGCTTTAGCGAGACCACACAACCTGCCATCCCCCATCCCCCCCTGCCATCCCCCTCCCGCCCCGCCCGGTTTTGCTCCGCTCCTCCCGTTTGAACCCGCCCTTCCGAAGCCGAGCCGCCCAGGGTGGCGTCCAGGTCCAGCGCGCGGCCCTGCGCCACCAGCCGCAGGAAGCGGCGCTGGAACCGGCGCTGCGCCGCCAACTTCAGCTCCCGCAGCGGCGTGGCGCTGCTCAGCTGCACCCAGCAAGTGCGGCCGCTGGGCAGACACACCTGCCGTCAAATGGGGGGCAAACCGCCTGGAGGCCCCACCTGGAAATTGCCAAGTGGCCGCTTTCGTTTTCTTCAGCCACTGTTGCGATCGGTTGTTGGGGTAAAGTGGATGGAAAAAAGCGATCGCAACTGGCGATCCAGGCATGACCCGTTAAAAATGGGTCAATGACTTGCACATAAACCACCTGCATAGCAGAGCTGCGATCGCCTTTTTCAGTCACTGTTGCGATCGATTTTTGGGGTAAAGTGCAGGGAAAACCAACAGCAACTGGCGATCCAGGTAAATTTGAAAATCGGCAACACTAAGGTAAGTACTAATCTGAGAGCAAGTGCTGGCAATACTAAAATTGAAATTGTTGGGAAGTGCCTGGAGTCTCCTTCTGACCCTTCAAAAGTGGGTGTGGCCCCTGGATCGCCAGTTGCGATCTTTTTTTTTCCATGCACTCAAAACCCCCAAAACCGATCGCAACAGTGACTGAGACAAGAGATCGCAACTTGGCGATTTCTAGGTGGTCGGACTCCCAACGAAAACTGCCTGGAGCCTCCATGACCCCCTTAAAATGGGGCAATGACCCCATTATTCTGGGTAATGCCCCCATTTTTCAAGGGTCATGGAGACTCCAGGTGGTCGGAATCCGGAACGAAGATTCAAACGGCACCCGTGGCAAGGGGATCGGGCGTACTCCCAGAGCCGGGTAACGAATGAAATGGAGTATCCCCTACTAACCCTTCACCCGGGTTTTGATTGTGGCTCGCCTCATAAAATTATCCAACTCAAAAATTTGGGAAATTGCAACCCGACATTCTGGGTTGGGTGAAGTCCTGTCCTTTGGTATGGGTAGTTTGAAACTCCAAGTCCTCACAAGGCGCAAGATCCCAAGGTGTTTTGCGCAGAACTTCGACCCTTCCCCAAGCCCCAAGCCTGCCCGGTACCCAAGAATCTTGTCCCCCCGCGAGCCCTGGCAGGCCAAATACTCAAGGCGCAAGATGCGGAGCATTTGTTCCTTCTCCCCCCCCCCCCGCCCCGAACAGACAGCTAGAAGCTATGGATTCGATGGGCCCAGAAATCATCCTTGGTTGGTGGCTTGGGGAGGGCTGCCCATGTTGGGGATACTACCTGGCTGAATCGCCAGTTGCTGTTTTCTCCATGCACTTTACCCCAAAAATCAGCAACAGCAACTGAAGAAAACAGCAACTTGGCTATCCAGGTGGGCTTCTTTCTTAGGCCAGGACATTGGGGATCCAGAGTGATTCAGCGCCGGTGTGGTCGCGCTTTCGGGCCCAGCAAGGGCTCCTAGAATTCGGGTTGCACCTGCGATGCTCAGTGCTGGATCGGTTTTGCCCTGTCCATGTTGGCCTATCCCGAAAGGCGGTCGTGAAACGGTGCCCAACTGCCCAACTGCCCAGCTGCCCAACTGCCCAACTGCCTGCTTTCAAACGCCCTAGATAGCCATCTTACGATCGTTTTTCAGTAACCGTTGCGATCGGTTGTTGGGGTAAAGTGCATGGAAAAAAACGATCGCAACTGGCAATCCAGGGTCTAGGTTTGGACACCTTTCGATCCAAGTGGAACGCCTTTTTTGTGAGTCACAATCAAAACGGATCGGTATGGAAATGGTAATCCTAGAACCATGTAAAGAATGTGTTCTTTTCCAAAAGAAGGCGGCCACACCGAGCCCAGTTGTGGCTCGCATGGTTCCTTACTAGCCTCCAATTGACGGTGGTGACTCATCTGGGTCGTTGGTGTTTTTTTTGCTGAAGTCACTGAAATTTCCCCAGATCACTTGTTTCCTTGAGACCCGAACCGCTGCTAGGTCCTCCAGCAGAGAGGTTAGAGAAGGGTACCCGACTTTTTTTCTTTTTTGTCTATTTTAGTATGGGAACCCTCCTGACCAAAAAAGAAACAGTGAGAAAGGGCACCTAGCTGGGGGACCTAGGCTGTGAGAGCCCCTTCCTCCATGTCCATGGAGCTCAGGCAGTGCAGATCGCTCTTGGGGCTCATCTGCACCTCCACCATGGAATCCACCCGCGAGCGCCGTCGTTCCATCGAAGCCAGCTGACCCATGGCAGATGGTGCGTGTTTTTTTGTGTTGGGGGGGGTGAACCTATACCCATTGAAAAGGGGAAGTCACCCCAGAATGTTGGGGCCATAACCCAATTTGAAGTTGGAAGTTGGTCTGTCAATGGATCGCAGGCCCAAGATCGCTGCGATGTGTTTCTTTGTTTGTCGTGTCTGTCCAGCTCAATGGATTTGCCAGGGTTCCAAAAGGCGGCTTTCATTTGAATCACTACTACTAGTATTATCGTCAACATCATCACTACTTTCACTAATTGATGAAGAACTGTTGTCATTCAAACTGCTATCATTGCTACTCAAGCTACTGTCAGTTATAATTCTCTCTTCACTACTAATGGCCTCTGGCAACCGGGCCTTCAACAATGATGCTTTGGGATCCGTGTTACACCCAGATCGCTTTTTCGCAGGTAACTCGCAATTCCACAAACAGCGCACCACCAACCCAGTTAAGGTTTGGGCTTGGTTACCTAAAGATAAATCGAATCACCGTTTTTTCAAGAAGGCCCGAGTGGAAGTTGGCCCCTCGCATTCTTTTTGGCACGGGGCCCCTTCTTTTTTGGGTGTAACGGTCCCTATGATTGGGACCCAGGACCCGTAGGGAAGGCAGGTTTGGTCAGTTGAAAGGGACAACAAAGCCTTCAGGCCATTTTGGCGGTCTCCAAGTCGTGTTCGCAATTGAAGTGACCCAACAGCGGAGCCAGGATGGGTGGAACCACCTTTGTTGGGGCGAATCCAACGCTGGCTCGCTAGAATCAGTGCAGGCCTAGGCAACTATCCATAAACGACCAGGAAACCAGCAAACATCTACTGCTTGCATTCTGTTCTGTGGTTAGTGAGTTTGCGGCGCTGCTTTTTGCATAGCCTGAAGCTTCGGCGAATTCTCCGTCAGCTGGGTGTCTCTCTTTTTTTGGAGGGTACACCTTTTTCTACAGTAGAGAGCTTAGAATAAGGGAACCCGACTTTTTTTCTGTACGTCTATTTTAGGGGAACCGCATCTCCCCCAAAAAAGAAACGGTGAGAAAGGGCTCTAACCTAGTTTTGTGTATATATTTTGAGGTACCAGGATCGCCAGTTGCTGCTTTTTCCCATGCACTTCACCCTAAAACACCAGCAACAGTGACTGAAATAAAGCGATCGCAACTTGGCTATCGAGGTACACCGTTTTGGAGTGATACCGGGAAGCCAAAGGGAACCACCAAATGGGAGGGGCCGGACTTATCAAGAGACACACCCGGGTCTGCGGCGGATCTCCTCGGTTTCCGAAACGAAGTCTGCACTTTTGGGCCGAACAAAAACAAATTCTTGCCCGGACCTCCATGCAAACCACCTCTTTCCCTTCTTTTTTGGGCGGTTCATTGTAAAGGGAACCCCCCGCTCCAGAAAAAAAAGACGGAAACCAAAATGGTGCCACCGGAGGTCTTTCAGAAAGCAACTCAAGTCTGCAAGCTGGTACGTGAGGAATGTTCTCCATTTGAGGCACGACCAAAACCCGTTGACGTTTGTTCTAACCCCCTACACGCAAGACCCACCTTTTTCAGGGTATGATAGGGGATCATTATAATCCTTGGCTAAAAAGGAGGGTATTTGGAGTTGAAACCCTTGTTGAACTAGGAATCGATCTTGGTTCGCTCATTTGGGGTGGCCCAAATGAAGGCCGTCCGATGCTTCCCACAAGATCCGGCGCACCCAAGAGCCCATGGATCGAAACAGTGACACACATGACACACCAAAACGGTGCTTGCAGAGAAAGGCTACCTGGATCGCCAAGTTGCGCTCGCTTTTTTCAGTCACTGTTGCGATCGGTTTTCGGGGTTTGGAGTGCGTGGGAAGAAAAAAAGCGATCCAGGTAAGAGACTACGTGCTGCAAGTACTAAACCCTGATATTGCCCTTTCGGGCCTGGAAACAATAGAAAAAATTTTTGGAACCTTGGCAAATGGACCAAATGTTTAAAACACACCCAAAGAGGTCAGGTGGAGACATCCCTCTGCCTAAACCTACTTCCGATTTCCGTTGGCCAGAATTCGCTCCGGACCCGAAAAGTGACCATCAAGTCCGGATTTTCGGACAGGGAGTGAGTCCCTCTGGCCTCGAGGATCCCGACCACTTTTGGGCGAAACTCGGAAGCCCACACCTTTCGCCTAAAAAGATCTACGCCTCCCGGAACCAGTGGTTCTAGGCCCCCCAAAAAAAATCCTGGGGTTGCTTTGCACGTGTCTCCCGCTTTTTCGTGGGCAGCTTGAGGGCTCGGTCCAGGTAATTCGGCGATGCAGGCGCCCCCACGGCGCCGCCGCTTGGACCTGCGCGCGGAATCCCCGAAGCTCCGGTTTCTAGGCGCTTCGAGGCGGGGCGCGTTCCTGGCGCCTCCGAGTGGTTCCTGGATCGCCCGGTGCGATCGCCTTCTCTTTTTGTCCCCCATGGCACTTTACCCCCCAAAAAAACGCCGACAGTTTGGGCAGTTTTTGGGAAAGTACAACTCCCGTGTTTTTAGCAGAGGGTTGGCATCCATACCCTGACAAACGTGGCCTTGGAGTCGTTCCTAGATAGCCAAGTTGCAATCGTTGCTTTTTTCTTCTTCTTTTTTCTTTCTTTTCTTTTTCGGTCACCGCTGCGATCGGTTGTTGGGGTAAAGTGCATGAGAAAAAACGATCGCAACTGGCGATCCAGGTTGGTATTTTGGGGAAGCCGATCGGCTTTCCAAGTCAAATACAACTCCGTTTTTTGCATGGGGTTGACATCCATACCCTGACAAACGTGGGTATTCGGGAGTTGGGGATACCTGGACCCTCAAACTAGCCATAACAAAAGTTGGATTTCACCAATTCCATTATTTGGGGCTGCCATAACCCGTTTTGTTTGTTAGAATTTTGAGGGTGCGTGTTTGTACTAGCTCGTGCCATCCAATCCCTCTAGGCACGCGTTCCGAACGCGGCAAGAGAGAGAGCCCTAGGTTCCTCCAAAGACCCAGGGTCTCCCAAAAAACCCAATGGCTGATTTTGTCTTCCATGAACCCATGGCCGCAATTTGGACCCAGGCCCGCAGATCCTCCGTAAAGCCATAAGAAACGGGTTAGTTAACCCATAAACTTGGGGTTCATACCGGGGGTTGGGGTCATGGACGTATACATCAGCTCAAACGCCTGGGCGTCCTTCAAAGAAGGCTGGGTGACATGGGGCGGTTTTTGTGAACTTGGTCTGAGGGAAACCAAAAGCACACCTCCCCAGACTACTTGGAGAGCCTCACAACTCCAAGCTAAGAGTTCTTAGGCTGTCGCCCCGAAGACTATGGTTGTTTTTACGTCCACACAAAAAGAAATGGTACCACCAAAACAAGAGACCACCTGAACCCTCGAATCCCTCGAAGTTGTCTTAGACATGGGGTGAGTTGCCCAAAACTGTGGTTGGTGAATTCAACCTTCTCTCTGGCTACCTCTCAGTTTTAGAACTTCGACTGGAGAAATTCGGTTGGAACCCACACATGCTCACAATACCCGGCTGTTTTCAGTTGGTATGATATCAACCCTTTACTAGAAAAGGAGCTTTTTGCCTTGGAAAACCAGGTTTTCCAAAACACCAACCTAAAAACAGTGGGTATTTGGAGCTTACGGGGGTCTGTTGTGAGGCAACCACAAGAGGTGAATGTGGCAGTGATCGAAGCCTGGCCGGGGTCTACTATCTGCACCCACTTCTGGCTCATGGAGACTCACCAACTACGTGTCCAAACAACGGAGGAACTGCAGAAATCGGTGTTTGGCTTTTGGATTCTTAGAAAAAAAGTACCTGGACCCTCAAACTACCCCAAAAACAGGGAACGCACCCCATATTTTTAGGGCAATCACCCATCAAGGCTAGTTTGAGGGTCCAGGCGCACACACACACACACACACACACACACTTGAACTCCAGATGGAGAGTGCTAATCTTTCGAGTACAACTGATGAGTCTCGAGTACAACTGATAAGTCTCGAGTAAGATAAGTTTCGGCTCGCGATGCACTCGGCTTCCCTCTAGTGACGAAAGCGTTACAAGATTCAACATGAAGCACACACAGCGAGAGAAAGAAGAGGGCCAAATAGACTTTCAAAATCACTCAAGAGTGCAGGTACACAAGGCTGATCAGGCCTTGCATCCCCTCCAGTGATGCAGCTTCGTTGGGCAAGGTTCATCACTGGAGGCCTTGCCCCCCTGCTGCAACAGAAAAAGGTTTTGGTGGCAGGGTTTTCTGCCACTCCGCACACACACGCCCCTCTACGAGGGGCGAGGTTTCTCTTTTCTCCTGCAGGAAGATCACATGCTCAAACTCGAATCTCTATCGTTGACCAAAATATCCTCCACGGCGAGGGGAGCGAGACACAGCCCTAAACCGCTCAGAAGACGGGAACGAGAGATCACCACGTTGAGCGTTGCGAGTGTCGCCATAGAGGACTGAAGCGATTTGCGAAGCAGCCGGGCGATCACCATGAGAAAACGGAGTGGCGTAGGTGAAGGTCTCCTCAACTGGAACGGCATCGGAGTTCCGAACTTGACCAAGAGATTGATCATGTGGATAATGAGTTGCGAAGGACTCAATCCGAGACAGAATGCGCTGGTACCCTTGATGTTGCCAGTCACGGATGTCCCATGCCTGGACCGGCTCATTGGGATCCGTCACCCGCTGCCATTCCCGAAAAGAATTTTCAGGTAGATCAGGTACGGCGTCACCGCGGTGCCATCGTTGAGGCTGTCCTGGAGTGTATATCCGCACCCACTCCTGATCCTGCCAGACCGAATATTCGAGCCATGGGTGCTGCTTCGAATCATCGATGTCCATGTCGAAGTAAGAGGCAAGGATTGTCGCGGGCTCCGATCCAGCTAGTAGAGGAACAGGCACCATGCACAACCATGTTCAAACAACAACCAAGCAAGATCATGCAAGTGTAGAGACCACCCTTATTTTGTACGCTGCGCCACTCATGCGAGTCTAGTCCTCAGTCAGCTCGAAGATGGGACTCGTCTTGTCTCTGCCACTGTCGGAAGGATTCACGGGCCGGTAGGGCTCGGAGACCCCAATCGTCTCCGATGGTGTGTTTCCACGCGATGCACGTACTGGTTGATGAGGATGGGAAGCTTGACGTGCGCGAGCCGTCAGTTGTTGAGAAATCCCCTCCTGGAGACGAGTCAGTTCTTCAGTAGAGAAATCAGCCGCATCCGAGGACCTGAGAATCGCGTCTAACAGCTCCGGCGACATACTCAATGCCGCAGACTGCGTGGCCACGCTGTGATGATCAGGGAGATACATGGAATCAAATTCATGACCAGCGTGAGGGGCAGCGACTCTCCGATAGCCCTCTGTGGCCCAGTCTCGTTTGTACCACGTGGTGACTTGGACCTGCCCACCGACTGAGTCCTGGTTGGGAGCATAGAACTCCCTCCATTCTCTAAAAGTATGCGGAGGAGGTGGAGCATCATGTTCTTCTTGTGGCGTCCATGGTCCCGGATGAAAGATCTTGACCCACTGGGCATCTGGTTGTTGAGGATCCGGACACCATTCCAGCCACGCCATGACAACGCAACCACGGAAAGACAAATTGATAGGTGTACGGCTGCAGACAACAACGAGTGAAAGCGAAACAACTATCATAATGCAAAAGACCACTTTTGCAGCACTGCGCGGCTCCAGCATCGAAGTCAATCTCCCGAATCGAATTGAACTGAACAGACTCCCCAGGAAGGCGAGGACGGGCATCAGCCATCATGTGAATTAGATGATGCCGAGGAGGAGGTCAATCCAGCATACATGAGGTCCGGTGCACCCGAAGCGAAAACTGGCCTCGCTATGCTGGGACGTGGACGACCCAGGCGTTGGTATCCCCTGGTGACCCAGTCCCTGTAATACCAAGTGTAGAAGGTTGCGTAGGATACCGGTTGCAAAACCGCGCCTGTGGTGGTGCCGCCTGTGCTTTCCCTAGGCCAATCACTTCGAAGTGGTGGACCTTGCGCCATTCCCGATAGGTGGTCGGGTCATCCGGGGCCGGTCCCAGGGTGTTCGTGGCGACTGGATGCCACTGACCCGGTACATAGATCCGAATCCATTCCACACTCGCATTTGCTGGCCCATTGACGATGTCGTAGTCAAAATAGCGAGGTAGGACCCATCGTGCTGCACCATGCACTGTACTATTGAACATTTCAACCCGGCAAGCTGCTCAAAGTTATCAAGGAAAGCGGCGAACACATAGAGACGGCATGCACACCACCAAGCAAGACAACCCAACGTGGACTCACATACAAAGCAAGCACAACCGCATCTTTATCCAACATGCTACTCAAGTGTCACTCCGAATCATTCCAAGGATCATGGAATGGTGGCGGCGACGGTTCCCGCCACGCCCCATCCGGTACCGATGAGCCCACCGAGGAATCGACGTCTCGAGCATCGCGAATCCGATGGATTGTACAGGAGCTCCAAGTCGTTGATACCCTCGTGTTTGCCAGTCTCGGTACTCCCACACGTGGTAGGACACATAGGAACTGGGCGTGACTATGGGATCCGTTGTGGTGCCTCCGGTGCTGTCTTCAGACCAGTACACTTGGAAGTGATATGATCTGCGCCACTCCCGATACGTGGAAGCGTGGAGTGGGTCAGGAACTGGAGCATCATCGGGAACGGGTCTCCAAATGCCCGGAGAGTAAATTCGAATCCATTCCACTCCTCTATCGATCTGGTACTCGAAATACTGGGGGTTCATAGCAATACAGGCTCGCACGACTGCTAAACTAGTCGAAAGTCTGCGGCAAAGACACACATGCATTGCCAACCGCGCACATCCGCTGGAGAGTGATGCAACTTTTCAAACTCAAGGTGAAACACAGCAACGAGGTCTGAAATGTCCGACTCCTAGGTTTCACTGTCGTTGATGTCGCGCACACCTGCAATGATAGTGTCCTGGTCGTCTGCGAGCACAAGGGGAAAGACATTTCCGCCCATGGCGCAGGATGGCATGACAGTAATGTTTGCAAGTTGCCGATGGGGACTGCGATGGACGGCCAGCACGTTTGGAAGAAAACACTGTAAAGGGCCGTCGAGATCGCCGCGGCGCTGAAGCTGATGCTGTCCGAGATCGTTTGGACGAGCGCCCTGGACTGCGTGGTTCTTCATCACGGGAAGGATCAGTGCTGTAGATCGAGCGGCGTGTGCGCTGCGATTTCGAAGAGGTAGGGCAGGATTGTCCGCGAGGGGCTGAGATCGAGGGGCTGCGTACCGAGGGCATAAACTGTGGGTGTAGAATCACCGGTGGTGGTGGTGGTGGTGGAGGAGGAGG